AAATCTCCCTAATTTAAGGACTCATATGAGTTTCTAGATTGTAAGACCTGAGTTTCTAGATAGACCTATAACTAGGTTTGTCATGAAATTTTTAAGAAATGGGGATAAAGAATATGTGTAAAATTTCTTATAGAAGGAAAAGTTTATGCAATTGAGGAGGCATCAGAATGTAATCGGACTTCTCAAAAACCTTTAAAATCGTAGGAATTTCCAAGCTAGAAATACACACTTAGGCAAACTATAAATTAAGTGTGAGGGTAGAATAAAGTAATTTTTCAGACAAAGGAAATATCAATACTTTTATTTCCTGTGTGCCTTTTCTCAAGAATCTCCTGCAGGAGGTTCTCTTACAAAACAAGAAAGAATAATGGTATCCAGATAGCTGGAGTCACAGTTCAAGAGAGGTACAGTGCATTTCCAGAAATATCCATGAGGGAGATCCAGAATAGACAGCTATGTAACAGACATAGAGAACAACCAATCCCATTTGGAGATATGTACATGAGATATACCTCCAAGAAGATAAACATAATAGAATGTCTGGTATCTTTGAATATACTGAGAAGATATTTAGACAATTAGATAGGAATTTGGGAATCAGTTCATAATGCTGTTTGCTCAGGCCAATATAATGTGGCTACAATAACAGGATCATTTCTGACCCCATGTCCTTAGAGAAATGGATCAAGAGACAATCAATAATATTATGTGGGTGCTTATATAACAAGAGAAAAAAGCTTCACAAATTTTATTAAATAAATTCAAAATATAATGATGTTTTAATTAACTAATTAATTATTTTAGAGAGCATGGGGAGGGGCAGAGTGAGAGAATTTTAAGCATATTCCCTGCAAAGCACAGAGCCTGGCTTGGGGTTCGATCTCAGGACCCTGAGATCATGACCTGAGCCGAAACCAAGGGTCAGACAATTAACCAACTGAGCCACGCAGGTGCCCCGATAATATTTTTTAATAATATTCATCTCGTGACAATAGAATTCTCTCTGGAGAGGATAGCATTTTGCTTCATTGTGGTTCAAAGTTACATACCCTATCATGAAAAATGGTTGCAAAGTTCATTAATGTTGATATGTTAAGAGATTCTATGTATTTCATCTTTAAAAATGCGTGAATTAGATACTATCAAATATTGGTATCAGTCAATGAGCATATTATTTTAATTGAGCAACATTTATAGAATTGGGTTATTCAATTTTATATTTTACTATCATTACAGTGTAGATTAATTACTTCCAATCGAAAGTTAGTTGAAAGTTTCTCAACTGCACAGTAAATGGATTTTGAAGTACAAACATTTTATTTGCATTTGCATCAATATCTGAAAAGTACTGATGGAACTAGTTTGAACTCATAAATTTGTATAGAAATGGAAGTCTCACTTTTTTTAACTATAAGGCAACTTGACTCATGGTTCAAACACTCATTTTCTAAGGTACATTTTCACAACCACATGCAACATTTTTAATAATATAGAATTATTGAATATGCATACATTGTGTATAGAATAAAAAGCACACAGTTGCCCCAGAGAACTTCTGATACTATGGTTTATAAGCCCACAGACCAGAATTGAGTTGGTTGCTGAAATTTTTTCCATAATTTAACTGTGTTTTTAATCCTTCACTAAATTACACTGAAAAAGAACAAACAACCACAGATCATTTATTAGTTCATGATTCTATGATAACTGAAATGTATGGCAGGTTAAGAGATACTAAGACAACTATACTTTTAAGCAATAAGGAGAAATTAAAAGTCATATACAAAATGTCACATAAACTTTTAGCCCTAAAAGATATTATTCATCATGATGTATTTAATTGCTACAGAATAGAAATGGATTCCAGTCATTCAGGTTTTTAAGAAATTAGTGTATAGAACTCTTTTCCTCATTTAAAAACTAGCTATATAATCATTTATATATGACTTCCTGTATATATTTTATTTTTTATTGCATATATTTTAGATAATATTTAAAATATGATGAGAAACATAACTGATATATTTGAACAAATAATAACATATATGCAAATGGATGTTTTTCCCTCCAAACTATTTACCATACATCAGTGGTTCTCAACTGGAGGCAATTTAGTGAGTAGATGCCAGATATGCTGCTTTTCACAGGACATCCCCCCACAGCTCCCAGGAAAGAATTGTCAATAGTGCTGAAGTTGAGAAAACTGCCTTAGAGAATACCATGTTCCAGTGATGTAGCCATTACTAAAATATTCTGGAAAATACTCTTTATAATAAATCGCCTATTTGAATATACTCATTGGTGACAAATCTTTATTCTTTGTGAGGTGTATTTTATTTTAGATTAATTCTCATGTCTCGTAGGGAATTCAACAAAACAGGCAGATATTCACAGGCACTTTGTATAAATGCACTTAAAATTCACTAATTATTTCCAACTAATTCAGAATTTGGTCTGGTTACAAATTAGATGGCATAAACTTTACTTTTCTAGTATTTTCAAAGAATTTATTTGTTGGCAAGTATTTTAAGGATGGATTTCACAACCTCGACTGTCAACTGACTCCCAGCTGGAGAGGAAAATTGAATTAAGAGAAGCTTTTTATGAAAATGGTTATCAGCTCAAAAAGGAAAGAGGATTGAGCAGATAATAAACTCTCAGCCCCTCAAAAGCCAATAGAAGAACAGATTACTAATCCTTCATGTTTTTTTTCTGCATATACCCTTTTTATTTAAATTGATGTGTTTGCTTTCAACCAAACAAGTCAAATTTACTGATTTGACCCTTGCTAGTTAAACATTCTGATTGATATTTAATGTGCTGTGAATTTGTCTTTAACGTTTAGATAATCCAGGTCTACAGTTCTTTTTTTTTTTTTTTTTTTTTTTTTAGGTCTACAGTTCTTATCTGCAGTTCTAAAATTTCAAAAACCTTGAAAACTAAGGATTTTATACCTCAGCTGTTGACAAAACCTGACCTGAACCGATATGAAGCTTTTTATACTTTTAATTTACCCACATAGTATGAATGTTCAGACTCTCTACTACAGAACTATTAATATGTTGTATTTCAGGGGGCTTAGTAATATTTTATGCCTTTCTAAAATATGAAAATTTTCAAATTTCAAATTAGTGTGAAACCAGTAAGAAATATAATAGTAGATTATTTTATTTTAAATAATTTAATTTGTTCTCATTTTTGTCTTTGAACATTTATCATAGGTTTTCACATTAATCTCCCCAAATAATTAGGGAAACAACTTAGTACTCTGTTTTATCAATGGAACTAAATCTTAATGTATTCAGTGACTGAAGATAAAATAGTAAGCATTTTCAAAGTTACCACCATATAGGGATTTGCAGATTTGTGGCTTCATTTTATTTTAGGAAAGGAATTTTCTATTTTAGGAAAAGAATCCAAAAAATTATGAGCATAGCCATATTAAAGTAGGAAGAGGAGATATGATCAGGCAAATGATAAAAGATGATATGTATGCTGCTAATATTTCTATGAAACATGCTGAATATCACATAACCTTTTTAAAATACAGAATCAAATAAGATGTCATTCTCCTTCAAATAAGCAAGGCTTTAAAAACTAATAGGACTGAATATAATCAAGGATGTAAGAACACAGCCATTTCCATGGGCTGCTTATTGAAAAAATAATGTGTGCAAAAGGTCAGAAGCCTTAATAGGACCAAAAGTTATATCCTTTGGCCAAAATGATTCTACGTCTTGATTCATCATACAGAGATACTTAACATGCACCAAAAATCTGTATATGGATCCTCATCACTGCTTTATTTTATTAAAAACAACCAAAATCCACATGAGTAAGGATTGATAGAATAAATTCTTACATATCCCTGTAACAGAATGTAAATCATATTATGAAGGAATGTATAACACATTAAAATATTCAAAATATATTTTAAGGGTAAAATGTCAGTTAGAAAATAGTATGTACAGTTTGAGCCTCACTCTTTATACCCAAGTGTGAAGATGTGTCTATGTTGTTTTGTGTTCATAATTTTCTATATTTTCAAATTTTCAACAGTAAGTATATTCACAGTAGGAAATTCTTAATATTATTTTGTATTTCCTGGGTTATATACACATATCTAAAATTAATTGGGAAAAACTGAACAAAAACCAGCATACACTACAAAATGAAGAGTCCTCAAGAATAATAAAATGAAACAAATACTCCCACAAAGTTTCAAGGCATTTTCCCAACTGATGGCCTGTGAAAGAAGGATGCTCCTATATAGATAAGTACAAGTTAAAGAAGTTTACTTTGTGGCATTCGTCCACTCCATGATACATTATTTTAGCATTATTTTACTTTCTGAAAAGTGTTCTTCTTTTTCAGAATTTTAGCCTTTTTTCTCATCTGAATTTCTGAAATCTCCAAGTACTTGATTGCAATTTCAGCAAAATAGGAAGTACCACTTTTCTCCCCAGATTCTCATTTCAAATATTAGCACAGAGGGTGGAATTTTTACCTCTTATTCATGTGTCCAGCTCTCAACAACTTAACCTGGCAGAAGGACCAAACTAGCTGTAAATCTTCACCCAGACCACACTTGATTACTGTATGATGGGAAAATTAAACGTGAATAAAACAGCTAGAGCATTAGGGTGTTCTTGGAAGAATAAACACAAGTTGGAAGTCTTATGTGGATAGTGCAAAGTACAGGAAGGCAATCAATCATGTAAACATCAAATGAAAGGTTGGTAAGGAAGCCATTGGAGTCTGTCAGTCGCTCCCTGCAATAAATGGCTTATTCCATTTCTTTTCCCTTTCAGTTTAGAAAAATGAATCCTGTGGAATCTCTAACATCCTAAAAGATTTTGTAAATTCTTATTACTGTTTAAAGATACACTTTCAATGGAATGAGTATACCCCATTGCAGAGAAACTTTAGTTTATATGAAATGGACACAAACATGTCATAGTGCATACCTCGCTGACTATTTTTCCTCCTCCCACAAACAGGAAACTGTTAAGGCAGCAATAATAGAAGAGCAGAAGCGAAGTGAAAAGGCTGTGGAAGAGGCAGTGAAGAGAACAAGAGACGAATTGATAGAGTATGTAAAAGAACAGAAAAGAGTAAGTATCCCCTGAAGGGTTTTAATTTGTGCTTCCATAAGCTGAAACATTGGCTTTCATACAATAACATGACATTTTAAAATATTTAAAATGTCCTTTGTCATCTAATTTAAGAATCTCTGAGATTCTTTTTCTGATATAATTATATATTCTGATAGTTACATCTTTAAACATAAATTCCATCTGTCAACAAAAGCAGCACGAATAACTTCTTGTTAGACTCCTAGAAATGACCTCTAGCATTTCCAACTTAAATTACCTCATGAAGAAAGTAGACAGTTTTAGATATTTAGATTTTTTGCCATAAGTTTGTTAATTTCTTACTCTGTTTGTTGAAATTTGCATACACCCTTTAGGCCTTCTGACTGTGTTAACACCACTGTGGTTCCAGTAGACTTCAGTACAGTTACCAAGTTAAGGTTCTTCTATCATTGTTCCATTTTGGAAACATAATTCAGAATATGCTTCAAAGAATTCAGACTACATATTGAAGCTTTACAAAATAAATGTCACTTTGGTACAATGTGTGACTTATTATAAAGGTGTGAGTCTGAGCAATGGCTGAAGATCATAGGTCAAACTTAATTTGTAGTCTTTTCAACAAATCTTTAGTTTCAAGTAACAGCTAAGATAAGAAACACATAAGACGTCTAATGTAATCTCTGTAATAAACGTATTCTAATATAGTACATAATAAGTAATATAAATTTTCTTATACACAGTGTTTTGTGTTTTATTTATATGTTTGGTACAACATGTCATATATTATAGAAGTAATATATTTAAGGATTATATAATATATTAGGTATAAATATATAAACATAGCATTTACCATGTGTGATATATAATATAACATATTAATAAAAATATAAATAAAGCATAAAACTGTGTATATGAGGAAATTTGACATGTGATTTCTAAACTTAATTGGTGGTCAAAATGGCAAAATAAATAGAAAATGTAAGATTATCTTTCAGTTGGCAGTTAAGTAGAAGGCTAAGAGTACAGTAAAAGCACATGACAGCAGCTTAATCCCACTCTTAATTTGAAGTCAAATTTGTAATGATACAGAGAAAATTCTCATCCCTCCATAGCTGACATTAGGTTTCAACAAAGGAGAATTTGTCAGTACAATAATTACCCATTCACAGAAGCATTTTGTGTGGGGTTAAATTTTTGTGCATGTTATCCAGGTGTTTTTAAAAGCAGGTTCACCAAAATAAATTCCTGATATGTGCCTAACCTTCTGAAGAGAAAACTTTGAGCCAAAAATAGTCAACTGGCTTTTCAGAAAGTGATATATTCTCAGAAAACTGCTATTTCCATATGTATCCCCAAAATGCTTATTTTCAATAGTCTGATTTAAAAGTAGTCATGCAGCAAAGGAATTATAGATGCTTTCCACATATGTACAGCAACTGCAGTAGTGGAAGAACATAGACTTCAAATAAATTCAAGATGTCTTACCAGTATATCCATTTTTTCAAGTTTTCTTAATATATGACCAATTCTTACTTGAGCCCTAAATCTGAACACGAGATTATAGAACAAAGCAAGCCTTTCATAACATTTTAGATTAGTATTTTTAATTAAAATGGAAAAGTTTTTTCTTAAAAAATTCAAAATTCTTTACTTTCCCATCAAAATGAGTCATGCGGCTGCCGTAACAAATGTTTAAAATGAGAGCAAGAAATACCCTTCTAGGATTTATCTGGTTCCTTTGTGAGCAAACTAAACCTTGAAGAGAACTGACAATGAACTCCACCAATTTAATCTGTGTGTTCTCACAAATCCTATTAAAGAATTAGTATTCATTTGTATTAAGCCAAAGTTCTCACATGTAGAAACATTTATTAAATAACAACAACAAAATCATGATAACATTTGGTTCTATTTGCACCAAAGTTCCACTTCTTTATGTTTATTCTTGAATATGGTAAGGAGAATAAATTTAATATCGACCTTACAGAATAGTTACTAATAATAAATGTATGATAAAATAGGACATCTAAAATAAGGACTCAGTGATATGTGCTATGACTTTTATCATTTTCACTGCACTATCCGCGGGGAGGGGGGGAGCAGAAACTCCTAGTAGCGTCATTTTTTGCTAATGAAAAATGTGCTTTTCAGATTAATATTTGACATTCTCCTTCTGAAGTTTATAGTGTGATTCTAAAAGTTTATTCCAGAATATTAGAACTGATTTAATCAGTATACTAGTAGGAAGTTTATTACTTCCACTTAGAGGTTTGGGAGTTATTTTTATATCACTTAGTGGAATACTTTCAATATTTGAATGTTTCCATCTCTTCAAACAGAAAAGCCATAAAAAAGGAAAACAGAGAAAATATCTGAAATGGAGCACCAACTAATTACTAGACCTCTTTTTTATATAACTTTTTAAAAATTTAGATTCTCTATATTCTTCTTCTTTCCAAAACTGGATTTTAGTATTTCAAGTTAATTTGTATGAATGTCTTTGGGCTTGGAAATTTTTCACAAAAAATAAGATATCTCATAGCTTATAAAGTCATAGTTAGAAGAAACAAAAGTTTTTTAGCAAATTCATAATCTTCTTGTCTCTTTCCAAAAGACTAAATTAGGGCAACTCATCTCTACTTCTTCCTTTGTAAGATGGATTTCTATTTGCATCAGAGAAGAACAGTTTTCCAGAACAAGAATTTTCCTTTCTCCTCTCCAGCTTTTTTTAACTAGAGAGTCAACTTGAGATTTTCAGCGTTAGACACCTCAAAAGCCCTATAGACCTTGGTTCCAACTGGACTTATATTCCAGTCTGTGAAGTAATCTTACCCTTTTGAAGTGTTCAGAAATCTTTGAAGGAAGAAGTCTAATGTTGTGTTAGTTCCTGTCTTTATATGTCTATTGTCCTAAACAATTTTTCCTTTGACATCATCTTACCCTTACCAAGTTCACTAAAAGGCTGAAATGAAGACTCTTTTCCTTACATCTTCCCCTTTAGTCTTTTACTTTTAAAAGATAGGGAAACAAAATGAAAAATCCAAATGCTTAACTTTGCAAATAACTTATAACTTGCTCTACAGTATAAGATGCAGTAGAATCATAGATCCCCATAAAGGATGACATTGCCTTTTCTGTGTGTCTGCAGTCAAGTTTTTAATCAATTGTCCAGTCCTTTTAATTATTAAAATTCTATGAAGAATTAGAATTAAAATTACACAAGAATTAGAATTATACTGAGAAAATATTTTGCTTTTAAATGCCATTTACCAGTTATCCTTAAATCAATAGAGATACTACCAAATTTTATAAGTACTACTTATCCATCTAATCTAAACATCTTCGGGGATCCCTGGGTGGCGCAGCAGTTTGGCGCCTGCCTTTGTCCCAGGGCGCGATCCTGGAGACCCGGGATCGAATCCCACGTCGGGCTCCCGGTGCATGGAGCCTGCTTCTCCCTCTGCCTATGTCTCTGCCTTGTCTCTGCCTCTCTCTCTCTCTCTGTATGACTATCATAAATAAATAATTAAAAAAAATTTAAACATCTTCAATAAGACAAAGGGGCTATCTATACATGTACTAATTAAGTGAATTATAATTTATGCTAAAATTACATAATAAATCATTTACTAAGTTGGATACATAGTACTTATATTGTTAGTCCAAGTCATAATAATAACCAAAAATTTAAAATGGAATCCAAATATCCAAACGAAGAGAGCTTTTTAAATGATCAACCAGAAAAATAATTCAAATTAATAATGGATTTGTTCCAGTGATAAAAATGACCTCCTTTTAAGTATTCTAAGTAATAGAGTTTTTTAATCCTCTGTAAAATCTATATTGTTAAGCCTAGAAAAAGATTGTTATTATGTTGAACTGTTGAATTCACAGTTAACATGGAATTGAAAAACTAGTGTTTTGTAGCCTCAACTATAATAAATTTTCCATTAGTTTATAAAAATTGTCTTTTTTTAAAGATATATTTATTTATTTTAAATGACTATTTTTTAAAAAAACATTTTATCTATTTATTCATGAGAGACAGAGAGAGAGAGAGAGGCAGAGACAGAGGCAGAGGGAGAAACAAGCTCCATGCAGGGAGCCCGATGAGGGACTCGATCCCGGGACCACAGGTTCACAACCGGAGCCAAAGGCAGATAGATGCTCAACTGCTGAGCCACCCAGATGTCCCTTATTTATTTATTTATTTTAGAGAGAGAGAGCACGTGTGAGCGGCAGGTGGTGGGTGGGTGGTGATGGTGTGAAGGAGAGAGAGAGAGAATTTCTAGCATGCACCCTACTGAGCATGGGGCTCCATCTCAGGATCCTGAGATTGTGACCTGAGCTGAAATCAAGAGTCTGATAGTTAAACAACTGAGCCATCCAGATTCCCCTAAAATTGTCCAATTTTTTAATAAATTTAGAAAACTTCACTATAATTTATACAACAGTAAAGAAAAGGTAAATAGGAAAATCTGAAAAGATTTTAAAATAAATTTATCTGTGAGTCAGCTACGTATCTTTAAGTAAGTATAGTGATTTGCATTGGGAAGGCCATAACTGTATTTCATTAAAATTTACATTTTGGTCCACACTCTATTGAATCATTATAAATGCTACATAAGATATTGCAAACAATAGCCCATGGGTCAAATCTGATTTGCTACTTGTTTTTGTAAATAAAATTTTATTGAAACACACAGCCATACCCATTCATTATGTATCATTTTTTAGCTGGTTTCATGTTGCAACAGCTGGGTAGTATCAGGACCATATAATATAAAATATTTACCATCTGACACTTTATAGAGAAATGCTTATCAACTCATATTCTAGGCCATCAAAATCATTTTGTGGAGAAAATTTCTTTCAGACCTTTAAAATATTTATTTTTTCATTATGCCTCATTATAACTAGACAATTGAAATTCCATAGGTGCCATTCTAGAAAAGATTTTTCTCTTGATATTAATTACCAGATAAGGTATTATTATAATATATTCCATCTTGTGATTA